ATTTTTATGCCGCCCTATTCGCCGAAGCCTCGGGGCGGCTTACAACAATAAATTAAATCCACATAAATAAAAATTAAAATACATACATTAGAATAAAAAAATACAATATAAAATGATCTTGACATAGGAAAAGACAGCCTTCTAGGTAACCTGGCTCTAAGAGTAATACCGCAGGCTTTTAAAAATTAATATCGGGGCATTGAACTGGCCCTACAAAAGGGTTGGAAAATAATAGCAAATAATGAAGCATTGATGTAATATCATTTCATCCAGTCCTTGCTTGCTGCCCTGTTTTGAACGAGCTGACGTTTCTGGGTCTCTCAAACTGCAGTGGTACAAAGCAGAGGTTACCAGAGCATTGATAATTGTAGTTAGGTTCTCTCTGTCCCTGTCTTCCTGAGAGCCCAATTAATCATACTGGCTTGGAATTACTGGGGTTGCAGTCAAACACAACTGGAGAGCACCAAATTGGAGAAGTTGTAGCTAAGTTTTGGAGTTGATATGTTGGCCTTATGCGATAAAAGGCACTCCGTACCACCAAAGCCACCTTTTTCCTCTGGTAATGATGCTGGATTCTAGAGCATCTTCAGCCTGCAAACCTGACCCTTTAATGCTGGGATGAGCAGCTTTGGTGTTCTGGGAACTAGTTATAAAACCCTAAAATCCCTTCCGCAAGAGCTGTATTTCTGCCACTGCAGTACCAAATGTTCACAACAAACCACTGTTTTTTATTATTTCAATTTGTATGCTGCTACAACAGCCCAACTTTATATGTGTTGTGGCTGCTCCTGCTAAATTGCGACAGTTGGGGCTGATTCATGGAGAGTGCAATCCCTTCTGAAACACACCACTCAGCTGACTAGGCAAACTACCTTCTCACATGAAGTGAACAACCCTTTCAACCCTGATAGCTGTATGCAATAATGGCTCAGGGAATGTGTGTGTATCAGAAAGTGCATACACACAGGTATTTGTTTCAGTGAATCTGTTTCCTTATGGCTAGGGGTGAGAGAAAGTGCTTTGTATCAGAAGTGGAACCCCTCTTTTCCCAGTCAACTTGATACAGATTGCTCTTTATTAATTGCAGGTATCATCGAGGATAAGTGCTGTACATCAGAATTACTGAGGGAGGGCATTTCATGACTCAAGACTTTGGGTCACTTAGGAGCATGTATGCAGTACTTAGGCTGTGGGTTCTGCTCCCTGTAAAAGTGCTTCTCTCCTGCCTGGATTGAGCCTCATTTATTGGTCCTCATCCAGTTCATTACGGTATCTGGCAGTTTGTTTTACCAAATAACAATTGAAACTATTATAAATTGAACAGCTTAGTTCTCTGGCAATATTGAGCATACAAAATTAATTGTAAAATGTTTTAAAATACATTTATTTGTACTACTTATATGTATTTGTTAAATAATAACTGTAAAAATTATGTGTTTTAGGGTTAGTCAACAAAGCAGGACCAATCTTATGACTGCAGATAATTTATCTATCTGTTTCTGGCCAACTTTGATGAGACCTGATTTTGAAAACAGAGAGTTCCTGTCAACTACCAAGATCCTTCAATCAGTAATAGAAACATTTATTCAACAGTGCCAGTTTTTCTTCTATAATGGAGAAATTTCAGAGACCTCTGACAATGTGGCACACCAGCCACCACCTTCTAACCCAGTTCAAATGGTGGATCCAATTTTGCCACTGCAGTTACCACCACCTTTACAACCTCAGCTGATACAACCACAGTTGCAAGCAGATCCTCTTGGTATTATTTAAATAAAACAACTGATAGTAAAAGAGAAGATAATTACAGGCAGTTTGGCATTGGATAGTTAAGGAAAGCTAGGCATGCATGTTTCAAGATACAAAAGCCACTTTCATACTTATGAAAGAATTTGGATCCAAACTCAAGACATTTTTGTTGTAGTCATACTATACACTTTGTTCATATACACTGCAGGTCAACATTATGTGATTAGCATGACTGGAGAGGTTTAATTTTTTAACACAGAAATAACTAAAATGCAAAGCTGCTATTGCATGAACGTTTATTGAAATCACTATCATTCCTGTGACAGTTTGTCACATTATATTGTGAATAAAACTTTTCTATAGAAATGTAATGATTAAATAAATCATTTATGAAACATTCAACGCTTACAGCCCGCTTTAGGGCTGTTTTTGTTATTTAATGCTGTCCCCTTCCCCCTCCCCAGCAATTTCATTTCCATTCATCCCTTTGCTGTGAACAGCTAAAATACAATTGTATTTTATCTTATCTGTAAATTCCAAACTACTTATGCTATATTACAGTTGTTTAGAAAGAACTGCTCTGTTATAAATGCTATATTTCCATACATGCCATTTCTCTTTTAAAAACCTGTGGACATTTTCTTTTGGGGGGTTGGTAAAATTATTTTTTCTTACAGCACAATACCAAGGACATCTTATTGTAAAATTGAATTTAACCATTCTGGAAAAACCTTGCTATTATCTAATTTTTCTTTACTTAGCATTAATTGAATGAAACATTTTGTAATCCTGTTAATTCTGTAAAGAGCTGCATGTTTAAAAGATCATTGATGGTCTTTGTACACCTAATCTAATATATTTTAGATATTTTAATTTTTCCCACTGGGGAATTCATCTAGTCTATATAAAATAGTTTGACATTCTCAGATAAGCCTATATAACTTTTCATACATAAATGAGAACTTTGTTGTAGTGTAAACTTGCTAAACCAAACTATCTAGGTCTTAAATTTAACACATACATGATCTATTTTTCTGTGGCCCTTTAAAGGTATAAAAAGGCATTGCTAATATATAGCAATAAATACTTTGGGTACTGAAGCATCTAACTGTGTGCATAAAATAACTTGTATTCATTTTTTCTGTAATTATTGTACTAAGAATTCAAAATTACTCCTTTTGCACCATTTAAAATGATTTTTCTTTACATTGGTACAAGTTTGGCTGTAAAGTAATGCTGCTTGTTTTTTAATTTTTGGTTAACCTTTGGTTTTGGGTAAATGTAATAGAAGTTGGTAATATGGAACAGATTTGAATGGAATTTGAAAGTATTTGGGTTGGCTTGTTCCAAAAGAAGGGCTCCTTCCATGCATGAAGACTTCTGATCCAGTGGAGGAATCCCAGAGACAGAAGTGGAGAGTGGCTTTTTGTGATTTACCCCATGTCCATGCAGCTTCCAGCACCACTTCCCACATTTTGTAGACTGCAAGTGGAGATGCAAAATTGGCAAAAATTGTTTCCTGCCTTCAGGCAGTAGGAACAAAAGTCGATCTAAATCTTTGAGTTTCCCCTTTAAACTTTTTTTAACATTCAAAATCCCTCTTTTCTCCCTATAAGATAAAATCCTGGCTTATTCAGCTGCTGGAATATCTTGATAGATTTAAACTTTACAGTCACTGTTGTAATCTTTATTTGTGGCTTGCTATTATAGCAGGTAGAATAATTTTTACTCCTAAGGTTCTTTAAGGGTTTGATTTGCAAAGATATTTTAAGAATTAAGGTTCTCAAGAGCTTTGCTCCATTTCTCCAAAATAAAAAATGCTTTTTCAGTTATTATGTCCTAGGTATTGTACTTCTAATTATGACTTGGTTATTACGCTAGTTGAGATACCACAACCCAGGCTGCTGTTGAAGTATTTGTATATTATAAATTATCTTGATATTTGTGTTATATTCTTGCAAGTAATTATCTTTTCTAAAAAACACTCTATTCTGATTCAAAGCACACAGGATATAAATACAATAATAAAAGAATTGTCCTGTAAATGTAGTAGCATTAACTTGTTTTACATTACACCTGTTGTCTAAATAGCTTTTATTTATAGTCATCAGTTTAACATAGGCATGTTAAGGAAAAAAATTAAACTTCAAGAGTTTTATAAACTGTTTCTAGGTTGCTAAAGAATTTATTTTTCTACTATAGATGGTATAGACAAAAGCATCAAAATGTACAGAAAAATGCTTATTTCTATTGCAGCTAGGCTTAATTTTTCAATCATACCCAATTTTGTCTAATACAGTGAAATTTAACATTTGTTTTTCCATTTAGAATTGTCTTTTTGTAAGCTAATATAATTTGGTTGACTTACATTGATATGCTGTTTTATTACCCAAACAGATACGTTTGCAGAATCGTTTTCAAATTATAGGGAACTATTCTGAAATTATTCTTACCCTATAAATTAAAATGCTGCTCTTACCTGGCCTAATGCACGATCTGTCATAGTCATCTTGGGTACCCTTATGCAGCAGTGGACAAATGTGGCTGTGACTGCATATACCATGACCAGAATACAACTTTAGCACTCCCTGGCTGTTGTGTAAACCTGACTCATGCCCTTAGATTGCAAGTGTTGTTAACATTTAAGAAAATATTTGCAGTTGTCACCTACATGTCATTCTTTCTGTAATCTTTATATCAAAATTAAAGAGTTACCAATGCTATCCAGAAGACCCTCAGCAGAATACCTTTTTTGCCTATTGCTTTTACTTCCAACAGTTTTTTATGCATAAATGCGTGTGAACTTGCCTCGCTCCACCACTCCACTTAAAAACACTTGGTGACAGGGCTGCTAACTGAAAATGGGAGGAAAATCAAATAAGATATATAATATATAGGCTAACAGCCTTGCAATAATCTGAAAATCTTATTCATATCATAGGTAATATAAAATTCAGACCTACACATTTCTGACACAGCCAGCAGTTTTGGCTTGTTCCTTTTGTCTAATGGAGTTATCCCTTATAATCTTATTTTTACCTGAAGTTTCAAAGGTGTGTTGATCTTGTGAATTGATTCAGATTTATAGTAATGTGAACAGTGCTAACCAGTTGTCAGT